GCAGGCCGACGCTCTATCCACTGAGCCAAACTGGTTAGGGCCCCATTAATTTTTAGAAAGAGTGGAAGTAGCGGTAGAAATAGCAATGTGTGAGAGACTTATTGGTTGGTTGCCTCTCACACATACCTGACCTGGGCCGGGGATCGAACCTGCAACCCACTTATGTGCCCTTGACTGGGAATCGAACCCAAGACCCTTCAGTGAGTGAGCCAGCACTATAACCATGGAGGTCAATGCTCTGACCACTTAGCACACTGGTCATGGCTGTTTGATCTCAGTCTTTTTTTTTTTTTAAATATATTTTATTGATTTTTTACAGAGAGGAAGGTAGAGGGATAGAGAGTTAGAAACATCGATGAGAGAGAAACATCCATCAGCTGCCTCCTGCACACCCCCTACTGGGGATGTGCCCGCAACCAAGGTACATGCCCTTGACTGGAATTGAACCTGGGACCCTTCAGTCCGCAGGCTGTCGCTCTATCCACTGAGCCAAACCAGTTAGGGCTGATCTCAGTCTTGAAGATTAAAAGTTATTTAGGCAAAGGAAGAGTTAGGTGAAGGCTATTTTAGGCAGTGGGAATAGCATGTACAAAAGCATTGAAAGGAGAGTGAGCAAAGCCCATATGAGGAGCTACTAATATTTTAGTGACATTGCAAACAGGTCTTTGTGGCAGTGGAGTAGGCTTAGATGAAGCTGGGGTAACAGGAGTTATATCAGGAAGGACCTGACAGTCTGAACTAAAGAGCTTAGACTTGACTCTGAAATTGATAGCAATCAGAAGCTATTGAATAGTCTTATGCAGGGCAATAACTAGCTCTGTGTTCAGGAAGGGCAAAGCTAGAGGCAGTTAGGAAGATATAGAAAGAAACGATGAGGACATGAAATAATCTAAAGCTAGAGAGCGAGGTTGGATTTGAGATATTTAGTACATAGAATTAACAGAAATTAATGATAGTTAAGAGGAGTGTGTGAAGTGGGGGGACTGGCTCCTAGTTTCCGGCCAGATGGATAGGGTGCTGTTCACTTACGATGCCAGGAGCCTGCTGGAGGGGCTGGAGAACAAATCCAATGAGATTGTAAATAGAGGAATTGGGCAGAAGCCACATAGGAATGAACTGGGAAGTCTCATGTATCCTAACCCCACCCCACCCCCCACCCCATGCCAACATCCCACAACAACCACAGTGCAACAACAAAACCAAGAAACTGACATTAGTACAATCCATAGATACAGATTTGAGATTCATATTTCACCAGTTTTATATGTACTCGTGTGTGAGTGTGTGTGTGTGTATAACTATGTAAGAACTTGTCTTTTCATCTTTTTAATAGGATCCTTCACAAAGCAAAAGTTTTTAATTTTATAGAGTTCAATTTATTGTTTTTCTTCTATGGATCTTGCTTTTTGTGTCAAGACTAAGAAAATATTGCCTAGTCCAAAGTCCCCCAAATTTTCTCCTATGTTCTTTCTAGAAGTTTTATAGTTTTACATTTAAGTCCATGTTACTTTGAGTTAATTTTTATTTAAGGTGTGAAATTTAGGTTAAACTTCATTTTCTTTTTAATATTTTATTGATTTTTTATAGAGAAGAAGGGAGAGGAATAGAGAGTCAGAAACATCGATGAGAGAGATCGATCAGCTGCCTCCTGCACACCCCCCACTGGGGATGTGCCCACAACCAAGGCACATGCCCTTGCCCGGAATCGAACCCGGGACCCTTCAGTCCCCAGGCCGACGCTCTATCCACTGAACCAAACCTGTTCGGCTAAACTTCATTTTCTTGCCAGTGGATTTCCATTTACAGAAAAAGCTGTTCCTCCTCCATTGAATTTATTTTGCTCCTTTGTCAAAAATTCATTGGGCATATTCATATAGATTTATTTCTTAGTTCTCTGTTCTGTTCCATTGATCTATGAGTTTATCCCACTACCAATACCACTCTCTTGATTACTACCTCTATGTAGTATGCCTTGACATGAGGAAGAATAACTCCCCCACTTTATTTTTCTTTTTCAAAATTTCTTGGGTATTTTAGGACCTTGCCCTTCCCACATAAATGTTAGAAAAAGCTTGTCTATGTAAAAAATTATTTGCCCATATAGATGTGAGTTTATTTCTTGGCTCTCAATTCTGCTTCATTGGTCTGTGTGTCTGTTTTATGGCCAATACCATACTGTTTTGATTATTGTCACTTTGTAGTATAATTTGAAGCCATCAAGATCTTGATGACTTGTGTCTTTTCTCCTTATCATTGTTGCCCTCTTAACAGCTGTGGCTGAGATAAAGCTGAAGTGCAACAGAATTTCAATCCCCACAGGATTGTTTTGAGGGTCTAATAAGGAATACAGTCAAAAGTACTTTGTACATGGTAGATATCCATATGCATGAGTATTAATCATTTTTGTTATTATTATGTTTTAAAACATTATTGTTGCTGCCTAGTCTCCCCTCATGTGCTCTGAGTCTCTCTGGTTTTTATAGAGATTTATCAATTTTATTGATTTTTTTAAAGAACTAGCTTTTTGTTTCATTTTTTTCTATAGTTTTCTGTTTTTCAGTTACTTACCTTTTTCCCCCTTTCCAAGTGCTAATCCTTTATTCTCTTCGCAGGTTCCCACTCCATCTACAAGGCCAAGGATTTTCACACCCCAGTCATCACTAGTGATGCCCTTGGCACCTTCCCATTCTGGCCCTTATCAAGGCTCCAGAATGCAGAATATAAGAGACTACAGGGTACCTGAGCCCCAGATTGCCCAGCCTTTGCCCCAGGGCCCTGGGGTAATGCCTGGTGAGTGAGTGATCCGTCTGGGTAGAACATAGAAGAAAACAATTGGCATGGTCAGCGTGGAATGAGAGGTAGTGTGTCTATATAGTGAGAGGAGCTTGGAATTTGACGTCAGAATTCCCAGTACTGTCACTTACTGGCTTTGTACCTGCGGGCAATATGCTTAGCAATATACTGTTTCTTTTGAAGAGTAAGAGTAGTTGTTACGTTGTTCATTTCAACCCCACAGGATTGTTTTGAGGGTCTAAGAAGGAATACAGTCAAAAGTACTTTGTACATGGTAGATATCCATATGCATGAGTATTAATCATTTTTGTTATTATTATGTTTTAAAACATTATTGTTGCTGCCTAGTCTCCCCTCATGTGCTCTGAGTCTCTCTGGTTTTTATAGAGATTTATCAATTTTATTGATTTTTTTAAAGAACTAGCTTTTTGTTTCATTTTTTTCTATAGTTTTCTGTTTTTCAGTTACGTACCTTTTTCCCCCTTTCCAAGTGCTAATCCTTTATTCTCTTCGCAGGTTCCCACTCCATCTACAAGGCCAAGGATTTTCATACCCCAGTCATCACTAGTGATGCCCTTGGCACCTTCCCATTCTGGCCCTTATCAAGGCTCCAGAATGCAGAATATAAGAGACTACAGGGTACCTGAGCCCCAGATTGCCCAGCCTTTGCCCCAGGGCCCTGGGGTAATGCCTGGTGAGTGAGTGATCCGTCTGGGTAGAACATAGAAGAAAACAATTGGCATGGTCAGCGTGGAATGAGAGGTAGTGTGTCTATATAGTGAGAGGAGCTTGGAATTTGACGTCAGAATTCCCAGTACTGTCACTTACTGGCTTTGTACCTGCGGGCAATATGCTTAGCAATATACTGTTTCTTTTGAAGAGTAAGAGTAGTTGTTACGTTGTTCATTTCAACCCCACAGGATTGTTTTGAGGGTCTAAGAAGGAATACAGTCAAAAGTACTTTGTACATGGTAGATATCCATATGCATGAGTATTAATCATTTTTGTTATTATTATGTTTTAAAACATTATTGTTGCTGCCTAGTCTCCCCTCATGTGCTCTGAGTCTCTCTGGTTTTTATAGAGATTTATCAATTTTATTGATTTTTTTAAAGAACTAGCTTTTTGTTTCATTTTTTTCTATAGTTTTCTGTTTTTCAGTTACGTACCTTTTTCCCCCTTTCCAAGTGCTAATCCTTTATTCTCTTCGCAGGTTCCCACTCCATCTACAAGGCCAAGGATTTTCATACCCCAGTCATTCTCTTGGCTCTCAATTCTGCTTCATTGGTCTATGTGTCTGTTTTATGGCCAATACCATACTGTTTTGATTGCTTCATTGGTCTGTGTGTCTGTTTTATGGCCAATACCATACTGTTTTGATTATTGTCACTTTGTAGTATAATTTGAAGCCATCAAGATCTTGATGACTTGTGTCTTTTCTCCTTATCATTGTTGCCCTCTTAACAGCTGTGGCTGAGATAAAGCTGAAGTGCAACAGAATTTCAATCCCCACAGGATTGTTTTGAGGGTCTAAGAAGGAATACAGTCAAAAGTACTTTGTACATGGTAGATATCCATATGCATGAGTATTAATCATTTTTGTTATTATTATGTTTTAAAACATTATTGTTGCTGCCTAGTCTCCCCTCATGTGCTCTGAGTCTCTCTGGTTTTTATAGAGATTTATCAATTTTATTGATTTTTTTAAAGAACTAGCTTTTTGTTTCATTTTTTTCTATAGTTTTCTGTTTTTCAGTTACTTACCTTTTTCCCCCTTTCCAAGTGCTAATCCTTTATTCTCTTCGCAGGTTCCCACTCCATCTACAAGGCCAAGGATTTTCATACCCCAGTCATCACTAGTGATGCCCTTGGCACCTTCCCATTCTGGCCCTTATCAAGGCTCCAGAATGCAGAATATAAGAGACTACAGGGTACCTGAGCCCCAGATTGCCCAGCCTTTGCCCCAGGGCCCTGGGGTAATGCCTGGTGAGTGAGTGATCCGTCTGGGTAGAACATAGAAGAAAACAATTGGCATGGTCAGCGTGGAATGAGAGGTAGTGTGTCTATATAGTGAGAGGAGCTTGGAATTTGACGTCAGAATTCCCAGTACTGTCACTTACTGGCTTTGTACCTGCGGGCAATATGCTTAGCAATATACTGTTTCTTTTGAAGAGTAAGAGTAGTTGTTACGTTGTTCATTTCAACCCCACAGGATTGTTTTGAGGGTCTAAGAAGGAATACAGTCAAAAGTACTTTGTACATGGTAGATATCCATATGCATGAGTATTAATCATTTTTGTTATTATTATGTTTTAAAACATTATTGTTGCTGCCTAGTCTCCCCTCATGTGCTCTGAGTCTCTCTGGTTTTTATAGAGATTTATCAATTTTATTGATTTTTTTAAAGAACTAGCTTTTTGTTTCATTTTTTTCTATAGTTTTCTGTTTTTCAGTTACGTACCTTTTTCCCCCTTTCCAAGTGCTAATCCTTTATTCTCTTCGCAGGTTCCCACTCCATCTACAAGGCCAAGGATTTTCATACCCCAGTCATCACTAGTGATGCCCTTGGCACCTTCCCATTCTGGCCCTTATCAAGGCTCCAGAATGCAGAATATAAGAGACTACAGGGTACCTGAGCCCCAGATTGCCCAGCCTTTGCCCCAGGGCCCTGGGGTAATGCCTGGTGAGTGAGTGATCCGTCTGGGTAGAACATAGAAGAAAACAATTGGCATGGTCAGCGTGGAATGAGAGGTAGTGTGTCTATATAGTGAGAGGAGCTTGGAATTTGACGTCAGAATTCCCAGTACTGTCACTTACTGGCTTTGTACCTGCGGGCAATATGCTTAGCAATATACTGTTTCTTTTGAAGAGTAAGAGTAGTTGTTACGTTGTTCATTTCAACCCCACAGGATTGTTTTGAGGGTCTAAGAAGGAATACAGTCAAAAGTACTTTGTACATGGTAGATATCCATATGCATGAGTATTAATCATTTTTGTTATTATTATGTTTTAAAACATTATTGTTGCTGCCTAGTCTCCCCTCATGTGCTCTGAGTCTCTCTCAAATTGAAATTCTGTTGCACTTCAGCTTTATCTCAGCCACAGGTGTTAAGAGGGCAAAGGGCGCAAGCTCCTAACCTCATGGGATTCCCTGGAACATGGCCTCTTCCTGGTCCCCCTCCACCCATGGCACCCTCAGGCATCATGCAGCCTGACTCTGCCCCCCTGCCTGAGACTGCTCGACTGCTTCCTTTTCTTCCGATGAGACCACCAGTTCTCAGCCCTGTGAGCTCCCAGCCCCCAGGCCCTCCTGTCAGCTTCCCTGCAGCACACCCTCCAGGAGGACCAGGCGCTGCATGCTCTAGCACCATTCAAACCACTGGCATCTTGACTCCTCACCCAGGTCAGTCTTCTCTCCATGGCTTTCTTTTTCTCAGCCATTGCCTCCCTCCCCTCTCCACCCCTCCCACTACCACCTTAGGAATCTCTTCCTCAAACCAATGAACTGGGGCTCCTTTGGTTGGAGCATGTCAACTGAGAGTATAACTGGTCTTCAGAGGGAGGTGAGGTGGACTCCAACTAAAATCATTTTGATGGTCTTCAGACTAAACATTTCCAATGTTCCTGACCATGCCCCGAAATACTTCTGTCTGTGTATTATACAGGACCTCAAGATTCCTTAAAAAATGCTCCAGCTCCCAGGGCAAACCTCCAGAGGAGACAGGTCAGTGCACCTCCTTACCCACCCCTCATACATTTACCAGGGAGTGATCCACATTTTAGTTCCTTACAGAATTCAGCCCAGTCCTTCCCATTCTCAGGCATGCATTCTGCCCTCTCTTTTCCCACTCACTCTTCTTCCCTCAGCCCCCTCCTCTTTCCTGCTTACATTGTACACCAGTCTTCCCACTTCCTGGTTTCCCACTCCCTATTCTGTCCACTGTTCACTCATAATGTCTACCACTCTCTCACATGAAGGCCTAGGGTGTCTCACAGCTTAGACTCAGGTGCCTCTCTTTCTCTCTCTTTAGTTGCCAGAGACATTTATGTCCTCAGCACCAATTACTGCTCCAGTTATGAACCTCACCTCTGAGCCTCGAGGGGTCTTTTCCTCACAGCCCCCTGTCCCTGGTGTGGGTCATGCTCCCCCTGGAGCACCAGGAGAACTCGGCCTGCAGGTGACGACGTGTTCCCCTCCCTTCTCCCAGCCTCCTTGGGTATAGAAAAGCAGGGAGTGCCCTGGCCGGTGCGGCTCAGTTGGTTGGGCATCATCCCACGCACCAAAAGGTTGCCAGCTCGATTCCTGATCAGGGCACATGCCCAGTTGTGGGCTCGATCCCCAGTAGGGGGCACGCAGGAGGCAGCCGATCGATGTTCCACTATCACATTGATGTTTCTTTACCTCTCCCATCCTCTCTAAAAATTAATTTTAAAAATCTTTTTTAAAAAAGAAAAAGGAAAGCAGGAGCTTGGTAGATGGGCCTCATTCCTAAAGGTAGAGTCAGACTATGAGCTGGGGAATGGGGAGGGGCAGGCACCAAATGTCCTTACTGTAGAGGGTGCCCCCTACCCAACTCTGCTGTGCTCCAGTGAGAACAGTGTGGTGCCGAGTCACTGAGGACTAGACCTTAGGAAAGCTACGGGAAAGACAGCTTGCCCATCTGTCCTCTCTCCGCTTCTTCCTCAGCAATGGCCACCAGAGAAGGTGTACAGGAAGGAGCTGCCCCCAGAGCATCAGTCCTTGAAAACCAGCTTTGAGGCACTTCTACAACGTTGCTCCCAGTCTGCCACGGACTTAGTAAGTCTGAACCTTCCCCACGATGCCCTCCTCATACCCTTAGCTGGTTCTGGGACCCCTGAGCTCTAGAGCAGTTCTTTGTGTGATCAGCTCTTTTCTCACTGTCCCTTGACATTGTATGCTTATTTGATCTCCATGCAGGGGATTGGGGGCGGGGAGGGGGGGGCGGACACTTGTCTGGTCTGAAGTCCAGCTCCTTGGCAGCAGGACACAGTAGCATCGGGACTAAACCCTTGGAAAGGCAGCAGGAAGTACTCAAACGAGAGTGAAACCAGGAGTAAGGAAGCTTGCCATGCATTCACTGGCTGTGTCAGCTTGAGCAAGTCACTTACCCTCTTTGGGCTTCCATTTCCTCCTTCAAAATGAAAGAAGTAGCCTTTAGCCATTCTGGCTCTAATCTACTGTGATTCTTTATAGTCCTGTGTAGTGTGAGGTGTAGGGGCTAGATAGAATCAGAATCCATTTTCCTCCCTGTAGAAGACAAAACGGAAGCTGGATGAGGCAGCCCAACGCCTAGAATGTCTATATGAGAAGCTCTGTGAGGGGACAGTAAGTACACTTAGTGTGCTCCTCTGCCTCCTGCCCTTCCACCATCACCCATGGCCAAAGGGAGCTCCAGTGTCCTCTGTCCTCTCCCCTTAGGTCTCACTGACCTGGGTTCCCACAAAATACATCCACGTTGCCTGGACTGTGCTCCAGAATTCAGTCCTCTCTTATCCTTTCCATGCCTCCAGGGTAGGGGCTGGTGTGGGCTTACTAACCGAAGGGCCAATCCCTCCACAGCTCTCGCCTCAAGTCCTGGCTGGGCTCCACGAGGTTGCCCGATGTGTGGACACAGGAAGCTTTGAGCAGGGCCTTGCAGTGCATGCCCAAGTGGTGGGCTGCAGCCGCTTCAGCGAGGTCTCCAGCTTCATGCCCATCCTGAAGGCTGTCCTCACCATTGCTCATAAGCTGCACGTCTAAGCCAGGCAGCCTCTCTTACCAGGAGGTCACTGCTGCTGTTACTTAACTGTTCTCCCTGCGGAAAAGGGAATTTCAGAATAGATTCTGTTTGTGTTTCCCAGCCCTCATTCTTGTTGCCGGGTATATGATGCTGTAGGCTTGGCTCCAAACTGGCAGAGTGCCTGCTTTCTATCCTGTGTGCCTGGCCCTCGATCTGTCCAAGGCTTGTTCAGCCTCTGAGGCAGAGCATAGGGCCAATTCTGTACTTCCCCTAATACTGTTCTCTGGGGCAGGACGTGGGGCAGGGTATCTTCTCCCTAGGGATGTTCTGTGTAAGTGGCTTCTAAGAGGATGAACAGGATCCAAGTCTACCTCTGCTCTACCCATCTTTTGGGTCTTTTGTTTTTCTCCTTCTGTGGGTTATGAGCCTAATCTTACCTTCTCCTGGCCTCTGACTTCATATTCCCAGGTCCGTATTTCTCTGAGCCCCAGTGGCTGGAGTAGAGTTGGCTGTTCATCCTCTGAACAAGTCATAGACATGAGGGATGGGTACTGAGCAGAACCAAGAGAAGGAACGTTGGCCCTTTTCTAAAGGAACATCTCATCTGCCAGCATTATTCAGGGTGGGTGAGGTTAGGTGGAAGGGGTGCACCGCCTTTTGCTGGGAGCTATCTTGGCCTTGAGATAGAAGCAGAGGGACCACCGCCTATGGGAAATGGCCCCTCACTTGACCTGAGCCCTGGTCCAAGGAGGGCTAGACCATTCATTCTATATGAGCCCAGCTCTGGAATAGGAGCCATATTAACAAAAGCCTCTCTTTTTAGCACTGCTCCTCGAGGGTGGGAGGCCCTCTCTCCCTCAGCCTCCACATGTCTCAGGGCTGCCTTCTCTGGCTGCACGTCCATGGTCGGATGCTGCATTTGAACCACTGATGTGCTTAAGGTGCAATAAAGCTGCCTTGATTTGGTTTCCTCCGTCATCTCCCAATAATTGTCTCCTGGGTCCTATTTTGTTCTTACCTCTCTTCCTAGTCCTCTGTTCCTGCACCTCAATAAAGCAGGGGAGAGGCTTTGGGTCAGCTGGGGAATCAAGAGAATTGAAGAAAGGAGGTGTCACTGAAATACTCTCCTTGCAGCATTTGTGGCCACTCTGCTGTGTGTGTGCGCGCGCACATGTGTGCATGTGTGTATCTCCATGCGTGCCTGACCATCAGCTCCAGGGTTTTCCCCACACCACTTCAGGGCTGAGCTCAGCTGCACAAAGGGACTGGGTGTGAAGCCAGGGGGGACTATCTCTAATCCTGTTGTAGATCCCATCATGTCTGCGGGCTAGATGTGTGTGTTTGGGAGGAAGGGATTGTTAGGCAGTATTTGTTTGTAAAGCCACTTGCTCTTCAGATAATACTTGCACTAACTTCTATTGATGAAGCAGTGTGAGCCCCAGCAAAGTTCTTTCCCAAAGTGTCTTTGAAGCCAAGAGCCCATTGAAGGGAAGAAAGGCCGGGAGAGGGGATTAGTTTGTTCAGCAGCTGTGAATTTCAGTGGGAGGTTGATGAACTCCGAGGTCTTTGTTTAAATTAAAGAGGGAGGGGGAGGGAGCCACTGTTGGAGCGAGAGCCCCACTTGGGGCCCTGAACTAACACAAGGAGAAGTCTGAGCTGCAGGGAGCTGTGTACTGACTGCGAGGACTTTTCCCAAACACTTTCGGAAGAGGTGTTGTGAGAAGAGAAGGGGGCGGAGTGGGGGATTAGCATGTGAAATGAAGTTTTCATTGACTCCAGTGGGGGTAGAAAGCTATTTTAATGGCATTTTGTTCTCTTATTTTCTCTTCTTGAGCTCTTTAGAGGTATTGTTTTGCTAAGGCAGGCTTTCTTCCCCCTTCTTTCCAGTCTGTGGATTGCCTCTATGGGAGCCAACATAAATATTTCTCCTCCAGGAATGCGGGTTAATTAAAAGGAAATGAATGAGTGGAAGCATCCAATCCAGACCCACAATAGGCGAGTGCCCTGTCCTGCCCTCCCCTCCCACCACCACCAGCACCACCAGCGCTGAGCGTGACCCTGTCTCTGTCTCTGCCCTAACCTGCTGCTAAGGCCAATTGAGGCTCAGATTCTTTTCAAGAAAAGAAAGCCCTGCCTGTGTGTAGGCTTTCAGGCCAGGGACAGGAAGGAGACAGTGTTTTACACCACCTCCACCCCCCACCCCCAGAGTCCTTGTCACTTCTCAGGACCTCCCTCTGTTTCTGTCCTAAAGAGCACACAAGAGAGAAGGGGCCTGGGTTTCACTACCACCCCATGGTAACTTACTAGCTGATGGAACAAGCCAGACAGCGTTCTCAGCGTCAGCTTAAATCTATAAAACAGAAGGTTTGACTAGCTGACTGGAAGGTGTTTTCCCAAGCAGCCATTCTGGAGTTGTCCACGTTTGTAAGGGGAACACAGCCCTGGTGATTGAGTCTAAGAGAGAATCTAAACTCCATGAATGCAGGGAGAGCAATGTAGTGTTTACCACTCTGTTTCCACTCTGGTGTTTGTTGATGAATGAATGGATAATGCAAAAAGCGTGTGTGTAGCGGGGGGCGGGGAGAGAAGCAATACAAATGTAAGGTAACTCAGCAATGTTCTCTTTATAGAACTTGAATGTATCTGGTATCAAATATATCCATTTGGGAATACAAACAACCTGTGAAAGAACTTCCTGGCAGTATGACATGTTTTGAGTATTGACCTGAAGTTATCAAAGATGAAGTACAAAAGTTCTCCTACTTTTATGCTGGAGACTCCCCTGGAGAATGCGGCTTTCCTTTACAACATCGTGCTTTTTTAGATTTTGTAGTTGCCTTGCCAGGTTTCTTACTGTACACTATCAGATACTCCGCCACGTGGGACAGCCAGGTTGGTATATGCTGCTGCTTGATGAAGGAAGAAGGGCAAGTTGGGAGACTCAAGAGACCCAGATCAAAGCTGAGGGAAGAAGCAAAGGCGTTTTGCTGGTGGAGCTGGGAATACAGCACTAGGGAACCCTGAAGGGAAGTGTGTCCCCTATAAGGAAGGAGGGAGAACCGCTCTTCTCATAAGTGTTAGGACCAGAAGAGGTATAGGAATGAGGCCAGGGCCTTGGGGTCTGATCTGGCCACTGTCTCAGTTTGGAATACGGGAGCCCTTCCACTCACAGGTTGGCCCCTAGAGCCTTGGCCCCTGTTACCTACTTGGGGCCACACCATCTCTGTGCTTTCTCCTGCTCTGGGAGAAGCGGGATGAGGTTGTCTAGCATCTGACCAGTTCTGCTCCCAAAGAGCAGACCCACGGCCGGCCTAAAGGAAGAGAGTTGGCTGGGAAGCTCCTGGGGCTGCAGAGTGACAGTCGGGGATTGGCTCTTCCCTTCCCATAGCCCTCTTTCCTAAGCAAGTCCCTGCTGTCCTGCTTCTGGGACAAGAACTAGGAGACTCAAGCACCTCAGCAGCATGCTCTCACTACTGAGTGAACGTATTAGTGGAAGATTTATGTGGCTGATTGACTAATCCTTGGCAGATTAGCTTCAGGCCAGAATAACTATAGGGCATAGGCCATCAGGGAAGTGAGGCTCTACAGAGGATGCTATTCTGGCAAGGTGGGACCAAAGGGAGGGCCTAGAGCAGTGATGGCGAACCTTTTGAGCTCGGCGTGTCAGCATTTTGAAAAACCCTAACTTAACTCTGGTGCCGTGTCACATATAGAAATTTTTTGATATTTGCAACCATAGTAAAACAAAGATTTATATTTTTGATATTTATTTTATATATTTAAATGCCATTTAACAAAGAAAAATCAACCAAAAAGTGAGTTCGCGTGTCACTTTTGACACGCGTGTCATAGGTTCGCCATCACTGGCCTAGAGGTTGTATCTTCCACCGGCCTTCCTCTGTGTCCCCAAGAATAAGTTCAATCCCTGGAAAAAAGGGCACATATCACAGCGACTGCAATAAATCAAAAATCCAAGGTACTGAACTTCCTATTAGTTCTAGTTTCATGGCAGAAAGTTTACTTATTAAAGGAAGGTATCCAAGGCCCTGAATCCTGCCTGTTTGAGAACCAGGTTAGTGAAAAGGAAGGGTCCCAGCTCCTCCTTTCTTATTCCTGCCTTTAGAGGTGCACACCCTAATGGGAAACTGGCTTTATGGAGCTCAGTCTTGGCTCGGAGGAACACGGATCCTGTGGGGAAGAAGAGGTAGAGATGGTTGCTAGGGGGCAATGGGTTAGGGGCAGGGAGGGTAACTTAAAGGGTAGGAAATGACTGGCCATCTGACCTTACATAGCTCCTAGACCTTGTGGGTATGTGTCTGGAGCACCTTGGTGATTGTCAGGAAGTCATTGTCCCACCGGAAAAGTCCATTAGACACGGAGTCACAGGATGAGGAGCACCCTGGGTTTTCAGCAGGCAGCACGCTAGGGTACCCACTTTCCCCATCTTCAACCCTTGCCTCATGAACCGGTCCCCCAACACATGCTTTTCCTGGTCAGTTTTCTCACAGTTTCTCTTTAGGGAAAGGGGGTAAGGGAGAAGGGGAGAGAAAGCATTAGAGATTCCTGGGGAGTGGCTCTGCAGAAGGAAGATGTAGCTGTGATAGAGACCTGGCAGAAAAGGGGACGGGGCGCAAAATGGACAAGAGAGAAGCCAAGGCCCCCCCCACCCCCACCCCTAAGGCTCCATAGGCTAGGTCCAGCGTTAGGGCAACTAGGACGGGGAGGAGGACCATCTATTCTCATCCTCATCCAAAGAAGATCAATAGCTCAAACCTCAGAAAGTTCTCAGAGTAAGTGTGGGCCGTGAGGACCCTTCAGACAGCTCCCAGAGAGTGCCCCGGAAATGGGAAAACAGGGTGGAAAGTGACATCCCCGGAGATGGCAGCGTCTCTCTCGGGATCCCTGGGCTTGCGAGTGCGGGATCCGCATCTCTAGGTTCCTCTATTACTGGGGTCTCTAAAAGAAGCCGAGGACAAATGGGGAAAGGAGCGGGAGAGGAGACCCTTAGGGTTTTCTCGCGGGTTTGTGCGCAGCGCCCCCCCGCGGCCGCTCCGCGCGGCTGCAGAAGTACTTGGTGACGCGCCGGCGGCACTGCTCG